CATTGAAGAATGTTTCTAAAATACTATTTTTTTAAGATTTTGGAAAAAATAGAGAATTCGTGATGTTTATGATGCATTCCAACAATAATTTTTAGGTACATGATTGAAATGTTTGAAGTCTGTCTTTTAAAGATATTGGAAAATTTACTAAAGAAGCTTTTCTCTAAGTTTTCGAATTACTAGAATATTGTTGAAGTTCATGATTCGTTCCGACAAATTTTTACTGATCGAATATTAATTTCCATTTTTTTTATTACTAAAAACTGTTTATTTTATATTACAATAATTTTTTCGAGTAGGTTGACCRTTWGTAATATTTAWTTATTTACTATTGTTGTTGTTAAAGACAACAAAATTAGTTGCGAGTATGTTAGATCATTTTCTGTTAGTAGCAGTGCAAAATATTTCCAAAGTATATATTAAAGAAACGAAAAATATAGAAATATGAAACATAACCTTAAATTATGACATAATCACTTGAAATTGAAAAATAACATTTTTGGGAAATGCAATAAAAATACTTAAATTGCTAATGAGCATCGGTTTATTGAGAAAGCTTAATACATACATATATTTCAATATTTCTGTTCGCTAATATTAAACTTTCGTATCGAATTCTTTATGTAAGAAAAATAATAATAACAATAGTCTAATTAATACAAATTACTATTTTTGTCGATAACTGTTGATTCTGGAAATSAAAAAAAGTTAACTTTTACTTGTAATAGTATTTTTTAATAATAAAAAAACAACCCTAAAAATGTCATTTTATTTTAAAAAATGTTTTGCCAGCCGCGTGTAGTTTTGAAAATGTAGCTTTACAGAATTTGCTCACTAGATTTTCAAATATTTATCTTTTTTTTAAATTTATAATTATTTTTTTTTGTTTGTTTGTTGCACTATATAATCAGCAATCATTCCTCTCTTGTTAATGCTATGATAATAGCAAATATGTAATAAAATATAATAACAAAAATACAAAAATTTTTTTTACAATTCCCAAATTTTTAGAAAAGTAAAATAAGCTTAAAATTATTTAAACCTATTATTTTCTTTATTTAAAAAAATACACTTTAACACAAATATTGATGAGTAAACCAAATACCAAAATTAAATGAAATGAAAACATAATAAAATAATTTAAAAAATCGCTTACCATCACTGCCGAGCGCTTGCTCTGTCATACTATCAATACCCAATTTGCGCATGCCATCTTTGATTTCTTCCAAATCAGTTTCAGTATTTGTGTGAAATGAATCGGAAACGAACTCCGATTCGCTATGCCGTGACTTTTGGCTCACAGGCTTATCTAAGCCTACACCAATGGGTTGTTGAAATATAGGCGAAATCGGCGTCGATGTTTTGGCATCCTTATCATTTGCGCTTGTTTGCTCTGCACCGACAGCAAGWGCAGCCGCTTTTGCTGGCGACTTGTCTGTTTGTGTTTTTTTAACTGGTAATCCACATATGTATGCACACAATATTTAATTTAATTTAATTTTAAATGTTTTTTGTTGGAATTAAATCGATAATACGCGTTTCATTTACGTTTTATAAATTTTTTTTTATTTTCGTATCATTTCGATATCAATTGGGTTTTTTTTTGAAAAACAAAAATGAATAAAACGAAATGCGAACATGGAATGAAATAAAAGAAGATGGTTAAAAGTATAATTAAAAAATTATAGTAAGGATTTGAAACTTAAAAGTATAATAAATTGAAATAAAACAACAAAAATAATATATAAAAACAAAAAATACATTTAAACTGGTAATAAAAGTATAATCTCCAAAGCATAAAAATGAAAACTAAAGTCAAACAGGAAAAACGTTAACTTCGGCTACACCGAAGCTAGAGTACCCTTCATAGATTCAAATTTTCGTTACTGGAATTTAAGTTTGTTAAAGAAATCTTTTCCATAAAAGAATTTCGATCGTTCAGTTGGTATGGAAACTATAGGCCACCGTAGTCCGATCTGAACGATTTTCTCTGGGGTTGTACAGTTACCTTCGAAAATAATCCCTCCCAAATTAGGTGCAGATAACTGCTCAAATAAAAAAAAATTTGCATACGAGAAATTGATTTGGATCGTTCAGTTTATATGACAGCTATATGCTATAGTAGTCCGATGTGGTAAATTTTCTCGAGAATTGTACTGCTACCTTCGACACTAACCAATACCAAATTAGGTGAAGATACCGTAACAAATAAAAAAGTTTTCCATACAAGAACTTTGATCGCTCGGTTTGAATGGGAGCTATAGCATGTACTTATACAGGCAGACAAACACACGTACATGACTAAATCGACTCAACCCGTTACGCAGATTCTCGCCGACGTTCTCCTCTGGGTGTTACAAATATCGTGGCAAACTTAATATACACTGTTCAGGGTATCATATGTAAATAATAACAGTATTATATACAACAGCTTAATTTTTGAGTATCTTTGGAGTATCAATATTATCGTTTAACGCCTTTTAATGACATATATGTATATGTAAAAGTACAGCAAAGACAAGGCAAACTTCGTATATAGAACGGTTGTATGATATATAGATATATTGATTGATTGATTGCTTTATTGASGGATTTACTGCTCGAGACTGCGTGCTATAGTGGATTCTATCGATTTCGCATGAATTGATTAATGTACGCTTTGATTTCCGGCAATAATAAATGCGACAAGCAACAACTACGCGCATGTATGCATTTGAGTATGTTGGCATATGTATGTATGTATGCGAGTGAATATATGTATGTGTGAGTCTCTGTGGTTTAGAAAAAAAATATTGCGTTGTCGGCGAAAATCAACAAAAAATAGACTTCCGCAATTTTAAAATGTATGTATGTATGTATGTATTTATGAAAAACGCATGTTTTGTGTAAAATTAAAATATGTAGGTATATAAATAATCATATGTAYACAAATATCTATATGTAGTCATCTATTTGAAATTAACACAAACAGTTAATGTATGAAATAAAATGATAGAGCGCAGAATTGTCGTTTTTATATTATAGTATGTATGTAGTAGTAAGGAAGGAAGTTGGACAGCATGTTTACGCAACAAAATGACTAGTTACAAGTTAATGATTTTACTTGAAATTTATTTGGTGAAAAAAGTAACTCATTTAAAATTGCCTTGTAATTACGCAAAATATATAAGAAATATATTCCAAAAAATAAAAAAAGAAGAAAAGGAAAAATATTKTTTTTTTTTTTTKTTTTGAAAGCTTAAAGAGTGTGTTATAACTAATCGATAAAAGAAAGTAGAATACATTGCAGCGAAGTAGTAGTAGTAGTATTAGAAGTCGTAACAGTAGTGGTGTTAGAATAAATGACAGTATTAGAGAGTAGGCGATACAGCATACTTGCAATATTTTTTCTTGCTTCATGTACTTTTTTTATTATTATTAACTTCAGCTCTTAACCGCACAGTTAACACACAACTTACCGTCTTCACCGCTTGAGGCCTGACCAACGCCATCAGCGCCAAGTGTACCCAATTCGGCTGCCTGAATAATTAGTGAAACACGATAGAAATAATTCCGCCAGAAATTCTCCTCGGTGATGCTAAAAACAAAAAAGAAAAAAAAAAGAAAAATATATAAAAAAAATTTTAATATTTTACTTCCTTGACTTAGCGTCGTTTTACTTACATTTTGGGCACCAGTTCGAATCGCATTGTTTCCAGCGCTTTATCCTCGGCCATTATGGCAATAGCTGTGGGATACGCTGTATCGTAGTTGAAGTCAAAATCAACACCGGCTGGTGGTGCGCGCACGAAATTGCGACGATCTTGTGAGAGGCCGAGAATTTCCTCCTTGATCTTAGCCTCGTTGGAGTGTCCAATCCATGGGGCGACACCGGAATCGGCGCCACCTTGACTTTTAATAAAGGCTTCCTGTTCTTTGTTGAATGACTCGAGGATGGGCTGTTGGTGTGCAATGCGATAAAACCGTTACATTTTGTTTTGTAAGAAATTTGTTCAATAAGTTTTATATAAAGAAGCAAATTCGAACTAATTTTCGTAAACTTAAAGTAACAGGTATAAATATGGTCAAATAATATTTATATACAAGGTTGTATTCCTTTAATCCTTGATTGATAATTATATAATCTTCGTTGAGATGAATTACTGCTACGGAGCACTGTGAAAACGATTGTGCCTATAGTATTGCAATAAATATAGAACCGTCTTGGGCTTCATCTCTGGCATATCAGAGTAAGGAACCTTTGGCAAGAAAGCCTTTCGGTTGTTAGATCGCTTATCTTAGATAAATTCTAGTTATATATAATGTAGTATAATTGTCGAGAAAATTGAAGCAGACACTTCAATGTTATTGAGTCCACCGATATGAGCTTAATTGAAAGATAAATCCAAAAATAAATATAGATCGCCAAACTCATATAGATTGATGTTTTGAGCTTGCCGCAAACTAACATAGAAAATATATAGCCCAGCCATTCCACCAGGTTCGCCGAAGATCTGCCAACAGCTGGACCATATAGGAGAAAGTGGCTATACAATTCAATCTCGCCTTCCAGCATATAGCKTTGAAATAAKGGTTCTGACAGAATAGAGKWTAGTATCCAGKCAGAACCTCWACAATTGCGGTGAGATTGACTTTTCTAAGAGAGCAATTCAGAAGACTCTTACGTTTCCCTCTGCGYCAGAAGAATTTCGTRGCCTCAAAAGTTCTAATTGATGACACTTCATTGGAAGTACATATATTCAATGCTAGTGTGTAAGAGGACCAACATCCCATCTTGAGACCCAGCACTCATTATTGGATAATATCCGCCCGAATAGATTATGTTCAGCAGCCGTAGCTGAGAGTGTTCACGACGATCGTGAGGAGTCGATTTAGCGCTGTTCGCAGCAGCTCGAACCGACATATGGAACGGCTTGGCGACATYGYTTCGCTCTATGRGCTCTTGAAAAGTTCCAAGAAGATCCGACGTTTTCGAGCCAAGTTTTCTGCAGAGATGAGACTCATTTCTGGCACAATGTTTTTGTAAACAAGCACTTGCCACTTTTGGGATAAAGCCATTTCATTTGGAAACAACAACGCTTTGGTATAATGTGTGGGYCGGTGGAATCATCGGTTCATATTTCTTCAAAAATGATGACGGTTAGAACGAAAATGTCAATTGCGACTGTTATAACGCCATGATAACGGACTATTTGATGCCCGACATTGAAGCTCGCAATCTCGGCGACATTTGATTTCAACAAGACGGCGTCACTTCCTACACATTATATCAATCAATGAATTTATTGARAGAAYTCTTTGATAAGCAGATAATGCCACTTTTTGAGCCGGTCGGTTGGTCAACAAGATCGTGTGATATCAAACCGTTMGACTTTTTCCTRTGGAAATATGTAAWGTCTAAAGTCTATGCAGACAATTCCGCTTCGATTCAGGGTTTGGAGCAAACCAACACACCTGTCATTCGCCAGTTATCAGTCGAAGTGCTCCWACGAGTCAYCGAAAATTGRACTGAAAAATTGGTTGKATGAACCAASTGAGACGTAGCTACGGCCAACATTTTTAAATAATCTTTAATAAATAAAACGGGGAATGAATATTCTTTCGAATGATAATAAGCCTTTTTCATTAAATTTGAAGGTTTTGTGTTTTTTCTTTATAAAGTATGTTTCGAGATTCGCTGGATAACGCTTTATATATATAAATGTTCATAAATGAAAAAATTACGACTTTTATTCTAAATGTTTTTGTTTTGTCAGTACTTACATTCTCCTTGACAGTCTCCTTGATTTTGGCGCCCGCCTTATTTATGGCCGATGACAAAAATGAGCCGAAGTGTTTTGCCTGCTGTGTTACTTTGGTGGTAACTGTAATTTTCAACGCAAAAAAAATTAGATAAAATGAACAAATTAGTAAAACAGCAGCGGAATTTGTGGAAATGCACAAAGCTCATACCTACAAAGTACAAAAACAACAAATGAGTTTATGTAACATGCATTAAATATGTATAAATATATTGTATAAGAAAAGAAAGTATTTTATAAGAAATACACAAGCGAGCACATTAGTAGTAACCTGTCACCATTTCTTCCATTTTTGGAGACTTTTTTTATGTAAGTTTTCAAAGTACAAAGAATTAATTTATATTTTTTTGTTTTTCAAATAAAACATGTTAAGCACATTGAGCACATTTTTCACAATAATTTTGTTACCAATTTGATMAACAATTTTGTACTGTGACACGTACTGTTCGCTTCTTCGCCCTTACCCTGTCCGATTTGACCCTCATCACCGGTGGGGGTGCCACCGCCGGAAGCGGGGTGTGAATCAGCACCCTCTGTAGCGCTGCAATGAGAACGCAATCAATGCAAATATTAATCTAGTGAAGAAATTTTCTCAGTTAATAATATTAAAAAAAAATTTGTTAGAAAAAGAAATAAGTGTAAAAGTGCATCAAACTTGCAAATTCGCATGCACGAGAAACATTCTGGTAATTGCATAACAATAGCCAATATTTATATACAATATTTGCATGCAAAATTCAACATTTCAAAGTTACTTACATTTAATAAAATATATAATTTGAATGCATAAAATGTTAGAATTTACGCATAAATGAGGTTATATTATTAAATAAAATTATATTTATAATAATAATACTTATAAAAATATATTCTTTAAGTTGTAATCCGTTATGATTCTGGTGCTATATTATACAGTTTATTTAGGTAAGGTAAAAAAGTGGATATAGATAACGAATCGTTTATGATTGTCGATGCACTTAAGGGGGGAGTTTGCTTTAGAGGCTCAAAAATCGATTTTTTTTGGAGGGAAAGAAATAATTGATTAACGCGAAATTTCTAGAGCTTATAGCTATTTATTTAAAAATCATTCACAAGTTTTTTGGATACGAAATCCTTGATATTCTGCCTTTGGGAAGAAATTGCACGACGAATCTAGCWTGTGCATTTGTCGGACGGCATGCAGGATGCAGATCGCAATTTCTATCGGTAACAAAAAATTCAAAGTTATTCATAGTTTTTAATAATTCATCTTCTAGTTAAACTAAACAAATTCCAAAAAATTTTAAAATTTTAACACAAATTTTAATAAATTGAAAGAAGTGGTTTGTGACCAAAAAAAAATTTACTTTATGTTGTTTAAAAATATGTTCAAAATTGCCTTTTCTTAGTTTTTTTTAGTTTAAATAGAAGATAATTTAATGCCAAAGAAAAGGAAATTTGCCTCAATTCCATACGACGTTTAGTTTTTTTTTATCCTGCCCGCCAATTAAGAAAACTCGTAAAAATAAAAAACCGAGAAATCGCGTGTTAAAGTTTCGCTTTCTGCTAATATATCTACTAGACGCTGGGTCACTATTTCCCTCCTAGCTTCGAAAATATTTCGCATTCCCATCTATAACTTGKAGGACATATTCTTAGATTATTTTTAAAGAGATGTAAGCAAAAACAAAATCAAATTTTTGAAGCTTCTAAAGCTTTATAGGACCGTTTCAGGGCCGAAGGCATGGGTGAAATAATAGGTTTKTACATTGTTAAGACAAATTKTTGTTGGATTACATACAAATATTCTTTAWGAGACTATATAAAATAAAGAGGAAAGTCAAGTCAGCATACAGGAATGGCAAAACCGTTAGGACACAGCAGCAAAAGGRAAACGGAAATGCAAAAGCATGGTTGGCACGGCGACATAGATTTTTATATCACGCAGTTTTTAACAAGACACGTATGTTTTAAAGAGTACCTGAATAGGTATGGCCTTGACAATGGCGTTAATTGCTCTTTCTGTGTTAGCAGTAAAGAAAATGTGGAGCTTATATTTTTCTACTGCAAACGGGATGAGTATGGTATACCATAGAGAGAACGACAGCTCTGATACTGAGAGCTGAGTAGAGCCGAATGACARAGARYGAGCTAATGTCGTGACCCAATAGGCTAAGCTGGCCCTGTAATGTAATGCTTAGCGGCGGTCCCGCAAGTTCTTTCCKCAAAGATACAGATGACGGAGTTAATGTACCGAATGGGGTGTACCTTTAGCGAGCAGTACTAGTACTTGTTTCTATAGGAAATTTYCCATTTGGGAAAACAAGAAGACTGTATGAAACCCCTAGTTATTTTTTCGAGAATGACATTGTCAAAAAAATCACCGGCTGAGCAATAAAAATAATAAATAATTCCGCTGGGTCAAGATGTTTCGACACCTGAAAATCCGATTGATGTGATCAGAATACAGAATGTCTTGGAAACAAAATCTCAGTCAGAGTGACAAAAGTGCTTCGAATATTGTTTCAAACGCATGCTAAATTGTATAGATCAATTTTTTTTTTAAGAAATAAAGCGRTATTCGATGACTAATATTTGTTTTGTTCTCTAATCCTGAAATATAAAAGGCAACCCTCGCATAATATACAATACAATAATGCTGTAGGTTGGGTTAGTTTGTTACATGCGAGAATAAAATTTTTGTGGGCCCTTTTCCCATACGAGTAAGTTGATATAAGCCGAATGCGATATGGGTATCGACAACAAGATATTCAGTTTAAATTGTGCAGTGATTTTAATACTCAAAGTCTAACCGTTCTACATTCCTATCTAAAGTGCATTTATCTATCAAATTCAAGGAACTTTGTAGTTCTTGGACATTAAATATATGTTTAAACATAATTATATTGTTGGGCGTTGATAAGGAATTTCTATTAGAGGCGTTCCCATGACAGCTGGCTCAAAGTAACCGAAACGGCTCCGGATTTTTAACCGGCCAAGAGCTGTCAACTCGGAATTATGCTTCGAAACTATTTCAGGAATGTTTGCTGCCGCTACAACAACAACAATTTCTTTTAGAGAGTCTAAAAGTTCTTAATAATTGTTGATCATGGAGAAAAATAGCTATCAAGATTTTAGTAGAACAATTTTGGAATATTAATGACTTTGTAGTTATTTTATTTGAAGACTCCAAGGCCTCGCCTAGAAAATTTTAATATAATTGGCGCTCCATAAAATATGCTATGTGTCAAATTGCATGAGCTTTTGTTTTCGAAATATAACCAACAAATTTACKCAAACTGTTAATTTAAAAGCGTAGTGAACCTAGAAATGGCTATAAAATATAAATAAAAGTTGATTTAGCAAAAATGAGTTTTAAAAATTAATAGAAAAATGTACATACATAATATATTTACAAGTTTGTAACGGATTATTAATTATATTTTAACGAATTTAATAAATATTTTGAGTAAAAAATAACAATTGATATAATTTTTTTTTTTTAAAGAATGTAAATATACACTCCCGAATACCATATTACATTACAGAAATAAAAACACATTTTTCATTACTTCAAAACTACACTACTCAAATCGCGCAGTGTCTTTAGGAGGTATATAAGATTTAAAAGTTTTTGCTATAATTTTATAAATTATATATTTAGTAAAAAAAAGTATTAGTATTTTGAGCTTAGATGGGCACGCAGTTGCAAAATGTTCAAATAATGGCCATATTTACAAGACTCGCATTGATGATGGAACCGAAGTTGCCTGTGAGACGATGTTAGATGAAAATGTATGGCAAATACATAAACAAGGTCCTATAAATTAAAATAATGGTGGGAAATGTCGAATTATGAATACAGCACAGCGAAGTAGTCTGATTGGTTGCTGCCATTGGTCGCATGCAAAACACACGACTGTTGCCAAGTATGCGTTTCTGGAACATACAAAAAACAGTAAAGAAACTGAAGGTGAATGAAAAATTTGATAAAGAAAAGGGAAATGAAGAAGAAATAAGGAAAAAGAAAAGATTTCGAAATTTAATATTAAAAACCGCAGAAAGTGAAGCGCATATAGACGAGAAAATCAAAAGCAAATTACGAAATTCTATGAAAAGCAAATAGTCGGTATAAAAAAAGTAAGTTTCTAYGAAAATAAAAATAGTCGGTGTAAAGAAAAAAAGAGAAAGGTGAAAAATCAGAAGAAAAAACGTCAGTAGTTTAAAAAACACTTACAACGCACGAGCACAAAAAAATTGCACTAATTTTGCACTACGTTTTTCACTAGACAACAAAAAGACATAATGATAAGAATAACGTATGTTTTCTGTTTTTTTTTTTTTTTTTGTTTTGTTTTAAATGTACGCACAATGTACGAATATGTTTACTAATTTTGTCACATTTGCTTTTAAATTGTATGGTATTTTGCTAAAAAATTATATTTTGCGAGCGTTTACTATTTTTTTCTTGTTTTTTTGCTTTATGTTTTGTTAGCATATCCGCTTTGGTTCGTGTTTTTTGATGGGCCGCACAATAATGATGGTATCTGATATTTTATGGTTGCGCTGCATGGTCTCACTACAAACGGTTTACTTGCGAGCTGAGCGGTTAAAATACGATTACGATTACTTTTATGTACGTATGTAGCTGCTTTTCGGTTACGTTTGGGAGTATAAGAATAAATAATATAGGATAGAACGAAACTGTTGACATAATGATGGACATATTTATTGAAATTGGCCAAGAAATTAAAATTTAAATCATAATAGTAATGCATTGAATGGTTATTAGTTAATATTTAGGTGCAAGGTGATGCGTTAGGTGAGCTTTTATATGTAGTAATATAGACATGAGGGTGAAGTAGACGATGGAAATTTTTGTCCGCTGCTAAAAAGCGAATTTAAATTTTACAGCTAGATTATTAGTGCTAGATCACGCTATATTTATAAGATAGCTATATATACATATGTGTATATGGTATTTCGAGGATATGCTAATGCAAAATTTAGTTTTATTGTTAGTAAAGTTAATGATACAAATAAGGTTATGGAAGGTGTGCTTKTGGGTTATTCGCACTAATAAATTAAATTTCGGTACTGTTGACAGAATTTTATGATTTAATTATTGTTATATATACAAATCGTCAACTGAAATGCAAAACAACGTATCATCAAGAAAATCGAAAAWGRGMTTTTWATTGCTWACGATTSACTACATCATATTACAWATTGTAKRATAAAATTTTTAGCTTTTGCTCKCAGATATAACCAATATTTAACCATTTTATAACCAACATTTAACCATTTTATAAGGAATATATAACCATTTCATTACGAATATGTAACTAAATTATAACCAATATATAACCACTTTATAACCAATACTCAGATTTTGTTGCAATATGATTGGTTTCTATTATATCGTTTTACCTTCGTCTGTAAACTTCTAAAAAGTKATGWTACATTATTTTGAATTTTAGTTGATGAAATGCTTCACTTTCAGACTTTATATGCATTTAAAGAGGGACAAAAATTTCCAAACAYATTTTTAATGAAAATAAAATAAAATTATGAATACTTTATATAGCAAAAGTACAGTTTAAGCTAAGAGGGAAATTGAAATTTTCAAGTAATCAGTGAGTAAGCAAAGAGAGAATATACAAAGAAATAGAGTAGTGAAATTGATAAGTAGGAAAAATAGTGATCGAAATAGTTTTGAAAATTTGAAAGTTATAAGAAATCGGACACAAAATTTATAAATTTGTGATTATTATGCTAARCTAGGCTAGATGTTTGCATAAAGGGTGCTACAAATGCAAATTCATTGAAGGTATTGAAATAATAATATTTTTTATATTTTAAATTTTTAGAATTCAATTTTTGAAAGCAAATAAATCGTAGTAATCTGAAACACAATGGAAACGAAATATAAAATAAAAAATAAACGGAAAAATCATTTACGGGCGATCCAAGGTCGGTAAGAGGAAGGGAAGCCCCGCCGCACCTTTTTATACGCTGCGGGTCCTTCTTGTCGGAAATCGAGATAAGCCGTTTTTAGCACTTAAAAGTTCAAGCATGACTTTCTCTTATTTTTTCCGAACATAGAACGCCAGTAAATGATTTTTTCCTTTTTTATATTTTATTTATGCGTTTCTTTCACTTTTTACGATTTTCATAGGCTTTTAATGTAGTTTACAAAATATAAATTTTCAATTTTAATATAAATTTTTTTATTAAATTTCTGATTTGGTTGCCTGAGCTGCTTTTTACTGTTAAAAACTTGTATATGCACCACCCTATGTATAAATTACAAAATATGTAAATAGTCTAACTTATGACTAAAGTTTGTAAAATTTGCAGAAATGAATGTATGTATGTGTATTAATATCAACAAAAGCCAAAAGCAAATTTAAAACGAATACTTAACGCATATTATGTATATGTGTGTGTGTGTGTGTGTTTGTGTAGAGTTTCGGCCAATATATACGAGTATAAGTGAGTATAAGAAATTAATAACGTTAGTAGTTAATATAACTGTTAATAGAATAATATAGTTTTCAACTTGTTAGTTAGTTGTGCTTTAAAGGTGGCATTTAATCAAGTCAACTGCACAGCAACGAACTGAACAAAGGTGATTTGTAGTCAACTTAATTGAACGAAATGTAAAATGTATTACTTTCCAAACGATTTGCATTAAACTATTGAAAAAATTGTTTTGTCRAAAACTTTGTAATAATTAGTGAAACTAAACTATATTCAACTCAACTAGAAAATTTGATTAAAATTCAAAAATTTGCTTTTGTTTGTTTTGCTTCACTTCATAAATATAATACAAAATGTACACACTTTTTGCGTGTAGTGTGTAAGATTTTGCATTAAAAATATGAATTTAAGTTCGTTTTAAATTTAAGCGTTTAAAAAATTTTTATTATTTTTTTTCGGTTTAAATATAACGTTTTTATTTATCCCTGCTGTAACTCATAAAATAGCACTGTCCCGTCATTAGCTGCTTGGCCCATACCTAATGTACCTCGATTTGTCATCATCTTCACCACTCACGGCACCTGTGGGATCTCCGCTCTCGGCGACAGCGCCATCTGCGGCGACACCCTCACCAGCTTCGGCGCCACCTTTGCGCAGCCCCGGAATTGAGGGCATCGACGGCATGGCTGGCATAGCTGGCATTGATGGCATAGACATGGTAGGCATTGCCGGCATTGATGGAATTGAAGCGCTGGCACTGCCTAACCAGCCTTTGGCACTTCCCAACCAACCACTGTATGGGGAAAGAGAGAGAAAGAAAGAGAAAAAGTTACGATTTTTATTTGTATTTTTTAATAATATTTATAAATAATAAAATTAATACTCCTAAAGTTATAACTAGTATTAAATAATGTAATATTAACTACATAATAAATAAAATACACATTTGTTCGGCATTGGAGCACACGCAAAATATTTTCAGGATTATTGAAATTTGTATACAATATTTCTTTTTTTTAAATTTTCAGGTTTATTATCAGAGGGCACAGAAAATATTATAAATAAGTTTGTTTTTATAGATATTTATTTTATAAAATTTTCAGAAAGCACGAAAAAGATTATAAATAATTTGCTTTTTTACAGATAATATTTTTTTGGTTTATATAATATTTTTGATATCAATTATATAAAAAAAAAAATGTTTACATATACGACTACTCAGAATTTCATATTTTTTATTTTAAATAAAATACAATTTTATTGCGAAAAAATGGCAACACTGCTCCATCTTATACTTAGCTTTAAAACTTATTGCCAATAGGCTGCTACATATATTTTCTTTAACATAGAAAATATTCCAAATTTTTAACACTATTTTCTTCTACAAATATTTTCCATGAAATGTTAAATCACAATCGACTAAAGTTTGAAAATATATACTTTATTTTAATGCCTATGCATGTGGGTACATTAAGTTATTATATCTAATAACCTTTAAAGAGAAGTCACAAGCTGTTTTATTATTATTTTAAARACCTCTCCAGCTTTTTATGGACCTCCAAATAAAAAAAAAAAGTTTTTTTTTAAATATTATTATTTATTTCTTGCTTTAACGATCTTTGTTGAACTTTATATTACATTACTTGAAACTAGTAAGTAAGCAAAATTAGAAGTTCACTATAAAGAAAGAAGTTATCAGCTTTCATCATGTTACTCATACGCTCCGTTGAAYACATGAAATTTTACATTTAATGCATAGAATGCATGCCAAAACATTATTTTTGTTAAAAAGTGAAATAATATACCACACACCASTTTTTAACTCGTTTATATGCTCCACATTTTTAATACATGTAAAGAAGTGGTTTTATTGCTTGCTTAAAGTATGCACGTTACTCATACGCCATGGCATATAGTGAAAAAAATAACTAAATACACACCTGAAGTATTAATATTCTACTGCAAGGTTTTCTACTTGAAAATATTTGAATATTTTACTATTTGAATATTTTATATTAGAAAAATTGAGAATTTTGCGCATCACATTATGCATACTGCCAAACCATGTTACTCATACGCCTCAGCCGATAAACAATGAAATCATGTGAAAACAGTGCAACAGTGCAGGCAACTACGCACTTGCGGTCTGTTTAATGTTGCCACATGAAATGGGTGTACGCATGAATTCATCAGCAAATCACGCCTCAAAATGACCTTCAATCGACGTTTATTGCAAACAACATTGAYTTCGGACCGTATGATGCGTGGCGTGTGGGCAGGTGTGCTGCGTACGGTTTGCCTAATTAAGGAAGGCGTAAGCGATAGATAGGTGGTGGCAACGGMAACTTTCATTAAATTTCGTGGTTCATTTTGCTTGAATGCACCTTTCGCTTCGTAATTAASGCACGCATTATTGCGCTCAACATGGCATTAAAAAGTAAATATATTTGCATATGCTCTTTTGAAGTATGCATGTGTAGGTATAATTGCTGAACGATTATTTGTAAAATTTATTAAGCCGCAATTGCGTTGTCATATGCGGATTATCAGCACATAATTAGTMATGTATGCAGTGAACATATGTTGTGTTAAACTTGAAATGACCGCAAATTGGCCATAAAACGACGAAGCTTTCATAAAGTTTAGTAGAATAATTTGCACGATAAAAGTTCATAACAGTTGTATCAAACACATATGTAAGCCAGGTAAAATATGCGCAAAGTATAACTTATACACTGAACAGCATGTATTAAGTTTGTAACACGTAGAAGGAAACGTCGGAGGCGCTATAAAGATGTATATACGATTTGGAGATATCGCTCTGAAATTTGGCACAGATCTTTTTCTCAGCACTAAGTTGCYCATTTGTCGGAACGATTGATATCGGAACACTCCAGCATATAGCTGYCATACAAACTGAACAAACGGAATTAAGWGCTTAYATGGWAAGCTTTTTGATTTGACGAGATATCCTCACGAAATTTGGCACGGATTATTTTCCAAGGTAATGCTACAACTTCCTAAAAAACTATTCAGATCGGCACACTATAGCATGTAGTGGCCATACAACCTAAATAAGCAAAGTGAAGTCCTTGTATGAAAAAATATTTATTTGACAAAACATATTTTCGAAACTCGGCTGGGATTACCGTTATCTGCAACGGTACAAACTCCGAACAAACTATTAAAACGGACCACTATAGCATATAGCTGTCATACAAGCTGAACGACCATGAATCATGATAAAGCTATTTTATACCCCTTTATGCAATAAGCAATGCACCTGTGAACGGTATTACAGCTGTGGTGCAAACGAAATAAACGTTTTTTTTTTTTTGTTTTTCTTTTTTAACTATACCTGTGTTTGCGTACATAGCAAAAAAAAAAACTGAAAAATAATGAGTATGAAAGTTGAATAAATACAATTTTCATTTGCTGACAGCAACTTCGAAAATGCTTATGATATATACCCACCATAAATTTGTGGTGACAGTTYAKAGGCACTAGACAAGCTCACAATATACGGTATGCATATAAAAAAAAGCACAAGCACACGCGCACAAGGAAACATATACTTTAGTCTTAACTCACTCCATTTGTTCCCTACACTAACAAACTTTTGTGGTGACAGTTCAGAGGCACTAGACAAGCTCGCAATATATCCTTTAGTCTTAACCCACTCCATTTGTTCTCTACACTTAGCGCTGCACATTTTAGACGCGAAAATGAAATGAATGCTATGTAGGTAGATCAGTGGATGGCTAAGTATGTAATTGGAATTGAGTGCGGAAGGCGTAATAAATTCGCTAAAATAGCCATGGGCAATAATGAAAAAAAAAAAAACACAGCAGTTGACTACAGATGAGCGCAGGCTTGATGTGTGTACTTGAAATGAAAAGAAAACCAAGTAAGGAAGAGCTAAGTTCGGGAGTCACCGAACATTCTATACTCTCGCATGATAAAGTGATAATCGAGATTTCATTATCCGTCATTTACATTTTTTTTTTTATTTTAGTGTAAAATTAATTAGATTAGATCAATTTGTGTACTTTGAGTATTGAATTGTATTTTCATTTATTTTAATTGTATTGAAAAGTTATAGTCCGATCACGACAATTTTTCCACAAGGGATACCTCAGCTCAAATACCGTATTTGTGTAAAGTTTTATTCCACTATCATCATTGGTTACTAATGTATATATTATACAGAGAAGGCATCAGATGGAATTTAAATTCAATATTAAAGAAGGCGTGGTTGTAAACCGATTTAACCCATATTTGGTACATGTTATCAGGGTGTTAAGAAAATATTATATACCGAATTTCATTGAAATCGGTAGAGTAGTTCCTGAAATATGGTTTTTGGTCCATAAGTGGGCGACGCCACGCCCATTTTCAATTTTTAAAAAAAGCCTGGATGCAGCTTCCTTCTGACATTTCTTCCGTCGGTTAACGCACTTTTAGTGATTTTCAACATAACCTTTGTATGGGAGGTGGGCGTGGTTATTATCCGATTTCTTCCATTTTTGAACTGTATATGAAAATGCCTGAAACGACTCTATAGAGTTTGGTTGACATAGCTATAGTAGTTTCCGAGATATGTACAAAAAGCAAAGTAGGATGCGGCCCACGCCCAGATGTGTATAAGAGATGACACTTTATAGGTTTTCGGTTTCCGCCATTTTGTGGGCGTGGCAGTGGGCCGATTTACCCATCTTCGAAAATAACCTTGTTATGGAGCCAAGAAATACGTGTACCAAGTTTCATCATGATATCTCAATTTTTACTCAAGTTACAGCTTGCACGGACGGACGGACAGACGGACGGACGAACAGACAGACATCCGGATTTCAACTCTACTCGTCACCCTGATCACTTTGGTATATATAATCCTATATCCGACTCTTTTAGTTTTAGGACTTACAAACAACCGTTATGTGAACAAAACTATAATACTCTCTTTAGCAACTTTATGGCGAGAGTATAAAAATTATATTAGATTATCTTAAGAAAGATGCTTATTATCTCAGGATAGACATGATATTATATATAATATTTATGATAAAAATCTTACTATTACTTTGCTTTAAAACTTTCAATACAAGAGATGGGTAAAAATTTCTGTTAATTAACAAAGTTAAATTTTTTTAATATTTTATATACCAATTATATTATGTATATACATWTATACAYGCATACATTCATACCGTACTAGTATAACATGTTAACTGGCGTAGACTTTATTGTTTAATAAAAAGGTCAGACATGACTTTCCGACTAGACGAAAGGCAAACAGTGACGCCATTCAAACTAGTTAACGACTTTGCTTTGCATAATTTCTATAGAGTATACCTGTGCATACATACATAGTATACCAAAATACCTTTGTGGAAAAGTGAAAGCACGCTTGGTCCCAAAATAACAGCGTCGAGTTAACGTCTGTGAAACGTAACGGATGATTCTTGAATATTGTATGCTTACGACCCGGAATCAGACGATCAATTGGCCGAATATCGTGGTAAAGGGTGAGCCGAAGCTGAAAGAACCATGTACGGACGTACATCTAAAATATGTTAACAGTTTTCTTCGATTATCGGGATGTGTTGCACCTTGAAGAGTAAATTAAGAATTTTTAAATCACGAACAAATTCTTACTATTTTATATCGGCCAAAATTAGTGTTCATCAAAAAAATATTTTCCAAATGGGGGGCTAAGCAATTACATCCAGTGTGATGGTTTAATTAATAGAAAAAGTATGTATGTATTATAGCACTTGGCTGGGTTGAAATTAA